CTGCTTTTGCCCAAAAGGAGACCCTGGCGCCGGCCTGACGTCAGGCCCCAGAAAGGCAGTCTGGGCGGCCTGACCGAGAGGCCGCAGAGCTGCCAAGGGAGGCTCGGAGAGCACCGGCCCAGTCTCCAGCCACCGGCTGGGCGAAGGTGAGGTGAGTCCCGGAGGGCTGGCCTGGCCTCAAGAGCTGGTCAGTGCCCGTGTCTTCATCCCCCAGGCAAGCAGCCAGAGGCCAGAGGGGCTTTGAGGTCCTGCCCTGCAGGAGCCACTGTAGAGATGGGAAAACTGAGCCCCCACAGGGAGGATGGCTAAAGAGGGCCAGGCTGGGAACAGAGAGGGGAGGGAGAGCTCCCAAGGGCTTGGGGGTGTCCCTCCTGCCCGAGCACTACCTGTGCTGCTGAGCCCCCAAAGCCCTTCTCTGGATTTCATTCATTCATTCAGCATGCCCACTGATCATCTGCTGGGTGCCCAAAGTTGGGCCTTGATTGCCCACTTGTCAAGGCACTAACATGGGGGACCCCAGAAGCACTTGATGAGCTCTGGGACCTTGGCCACCACCTTCCCCCAGGCTCAGACACGGCTGGGGATAGAGGGGTTTGTGAGGACAGACTTCAAGCAGGGCACACCCCCTGAGGAGGGCCAGCCCAGCCATTCCACAGCTCAGGGTCTTACCTCCAGCCCCACCCTTTTCCAACCCATTTAGGGGTGGGGAAACTGAGGCCCAGACCCACCTGCCCACCCCCAGCGTGGACTTCGGAGCTGGTTGCCCCTGCCTGGTTCTTGCTGGCAGTAACTACCCTGTGAGAAGGAGCACGGTCCCGAGGGGGCGGGCAGGCGGGTTGGGAACTGGCCTGTGGCCAGGGTGGTGGGAGGGGCAGACAAGGAGCAGCTGTGCAACCTCGCGCAGGACTGGGAATGGAAGGGATGGACAGGATGGAAGGGAGGTGGCGCTCACAGCCCTCAGACCGGCCACTGAACTGCCCACTCATTACCATATCCTTCTGCCAACGTGTGGTCACTCCCAGCCAGAGGGGCACTCAGGGCCACCTCCCCTGCAGGGGCTTCTGGGCTGTGTAACCTGGTTCAGCTGCTGCCCCTGGACCTCCCATTTCTTCTCTGCACAGCAGGCCATGGTAAACTTTTCGTGGCACCACAGGCAGGAGAGTCCACGGGGCAGAGGTCAAACTCCAGCTCCCCCACCCCTAGTTGGGTGACTCAGACATGCTTCAGTTTTCTCAAAGGCAAAATGGGGCTGGTAACACCAACTTGGGGGTATCTTGGGAGGAGTCAGTGAGACCCTAGAAGGGGACATTTCAGAGACCAGCACATTAATTATGGGGTTACAGCTCTGCCCCCATGAAAGGGTGTCCAGGGCACCGGGAGGTCAGGGGGGCTAAGGGAGGATGGTGTGGGGTAGTCACTGTGGGTGCAAGGGACCTTCAGCAGATGACACAGGCAGAGATGGCATGCCAGGCAGAGGGAACAGCATATGCAAAGGCTGAGAGTGCTGGCCTGAGGACCTGGGTGGAGAAGGCTGAGGCAGGGGCCAGGCAGGCACAGCCTGGGACCCTGTCTGGCTGCCTCCAGAGAGGCTGCATTAGGGGAGGGGGGAGGCACTGCAGCAGTTGCCTCAAGGGCTGAGCCAGGGTGGCAGCGAAGGCTGTCTAAGCACCCACAGGACCCCCATATGCAGTGACACTGTGCTGCCCTTCCCAAAGAAACTTGCATTTCATCAGGTGGTGGAAAGTGAGGCCGGGTCAGGCGTGGTGGAGCCCAGGTGCCCTCTGACAGCACCCCACCCATGCCCATGAGTGACCCCTCTCCCAGAGCTGGGTGGAGGGAGCCCTAGCTGGGAAGGAGCCTAGATTCTCTTTGGCACCGCCCAGGAGCTGCTGGGTGACCCAGAGCCAGCCTGGTCCCTCAGGGGGCCTTGGTAAGGGCCTGGTCATCCCTGGTAGAACCACAGGTGATATTCTAAAGCCGATGCCATGAAACCAAAAATAAGCAGACAAAGAAGCAGCAGACGGTCCCCCTAATAATGGCTCTTTTGGCCCTGGAATGTCATCTTGCTGGGGTGTGGGCACACCGGGTACTGTGTGCCTGAGAATCTCCTTGTGCACAACAAACCCCAGGTCCAAAGATGCCCACCCAAACTGGTCCCACCCCTGCCTGGGCCTGGGAGCAGGTGGACCTGGCTTTGATTCCCAGCTCCACCAGTTTTACGCTGTGTGACTCACCCCTCTGGGCCTCCAATTCCTCGTCTATGAAACCCTGGACTGCTATGTGGTTGCAGTGTCCACCACAGCAGAGGCTCCGAGCACCTTGGTCAGGGAAAAGCTGGGCCTGTCCTTCACACCTGCCCTTCCCAGGTGTGCTGGCAGCCACCTGTTGCCCCATGAGACCAAGCTTCACTGCGGTCCCATATGTGATAGGGTGGAAGGTAGCCAGGCTCCAAGATTGGCATCTCCTCGACAGCTGGGCACCCACAGAGAACACACGGGGACAAGGGGTGGGGTGGGAGGGTTCAAAAGGACACACACCTCCTTACCTGCCAAGGAGGGGAGGTCAGCATGGCCCAGGTCCCCCATGGGGTCTTGGTCTTCTGTTGCTGGGGACAAGCAGGGACCCAGCTAGCTGTGAGTGGAGGCAGCGGGGCACACAGCCCCCCATTAGTTGGTGTGGCCATAAGGCTGGACAGAGAGGGAGCCCCAGGAGTGGACAGGGTCAAGTGACTTGGGGAAAGATGCTCATTCCTCCTCTTTGGGAAGATTCCCTGGATTTGAGCCTTCACAAAGGCTCTGAGAAGTCCTGCACTGCACACGTTGGATGTCCAGGCCTCTCCCNGAGCCCCAGGAGTGGACAGGGTCAAGTGACTTGGGGAAAGATGCTCATTCCTCCTCTTTGGGAAGATTCCCTGGATTTGAGCCTTCACAAAGGCTCTGAGAAGTCCTGCACTGCACACGTTGGATGCAGAAATGGGCAGGTAGACCCAGGCAGTGCCTCATTCAGGCAGGGAAACTAGGAGCCTCCAGCACTGTTGTTATTATTATGAGCCTTGTATGGGGCATCTGGCATTTCTCACTCCCTCAGGGACCTCCAGCCACTCTGCCAGATTTCATTCACTGGTTTGCTCACTTATTCATTCAACAAACATGATTCCCAGCATCACAGGAGAAGAAGCTGAGGCTCTGAGACTTGAACCAAGCACTATTAATGGCTGGTGAAGAGTAACAAGCCTCCCAGGCCTGGATGGTTGTCCTGGTGCAATTTCCAGGCCCTGAGCCCAGCACTGTGCTGCACACCACAAGGACATGGGCCCTGCCCACTGAGCTCCACCAGCTGGCCCCAGCTTCAGGGTCTGCTGCACCTCAGCCAGGCCCCGGGCATCTTCCAGAAAGGGGGAAGGGACGGGGCTGTGCCTTCCCTTCAAACTGGCTCCCAGGACAGGGCCATGCCTCCCCAAAGGGAAACACTAGTGACCGCATTCATTTAGCAGACGAGAGCAAGGCTCACTGACCTGGCCAAGGTCCTGGGGCAAGGGAGTAGCAGAGCAGACTTGAACGTGGCTTCCAGGACTCCTGTGCTTGCTCACTGGTGGAGGCCCATCTGAGGGCCAGGTCTGTGTCTGCCCCTCAGACTGAGTGGGTGGGCCCTGGCCAGGCTGTCCACACAGAGGAACAAAACTTTCTCTTCTCCTCCCATTACAGACTATGTTTAGAAGCCGAACAGGAAGAGCACATAGGGAGTGGGTGCCCAGTGCACTGCCAGCAGAGAGGTTGTGTCCTGGGTGCCCACCTGCCCCCTCAGGCTGTGGGTTCACCCCAGGCAGACCTGGGTTCAAGTCCTGACGGAGAAGGCCTGGAGGCCGAACCGGAGGGTTACAATTATGCAGCCCCAGCTGATGCCACGGGCCCTCTGGGAAACTGCAGGAAGAAGGTGTTACAGTTACATCACTTACAAGCAGGGAGACTGAGGCTCAGAGGGAGCCCAAGCCCGCACCTCTGCTGGTTAATGCTCTAACCCTCCCCACAATGCCCAGCACCTGGCCATTGCCAGCCATGACATCCCCAAAACTTCTCGTGGGAGCATGGGTATGCTGAGAATGTGGAAGGGACCAGGGCCCTCTGCTGAGGGGTCAGGGCCCCCAGAAGGGTACATGCATGACCAAGCAGATTCAAGGGTTGAGGGGGGAGCCATCCCACGGGGTGTCACAGAGTAGAAACCGGAGAAGTGGTGAGAAACTAAGGTCCAGAGAAAAAATGACCTTCCTGAGGCCATTTGGGGGGAGACAGGAGGCTCAACCCAGACACTCCCAGCCCGTCTCCTTCCCTGCCCCAGGAGGGGAGGGCAGAGTAGGGTGTGCATGGCTGTCAGCTGGCCACCTGCCCCAAAGGCCCAGCTTCCTGGGCAGAGCTCAGTCTCACCCTCTGAGCTCCTCATCCTTCAAAGGAAAAAGTGTGGCAAGTAGGTGCCCCAGAAAGAGGGGTTGTTGAACAATTAGATCAGGATATATCACTGTGAGGTGGAAGAACGGGTCTGCTGGGGTGAGGGAACAGAGACAGAGATAGCCGGACTCTGCAGAGAGAGCGAGAGAGCGGGGAAGAGCTGGTGGGAGTGGAAAGTCAGAGGTGGGGGCCCAGGTTGAGGCCAGGATCAGGGCTCAGAATGTGACCTGGGATCAAGGCTCAGAGTGTGGCCTGGGTTGGCTCTCAGTGTGATAGAAATCCAAACTCATTGTGTCACTGAGATCAGGGCTCAGAGTGTGACAGGCAGGGATTGAGACTCATTGTATTACTGGTCTGGGGGTTCAGAGTGTGACCAGGGTCGGGGCTCAGTGTGACAGCTATCAAGGTTCATCATGTTACTGAGACTGTGACTCAGTGTGTGTGACTGGGGTTGGGGCTCAGGACGTGGCTGAGATCAGGGTCAGGTTTGTTTGGGATCAGGGTTCAGACTTGGAGCTAGGACCCAGCATGTGCTTGGCTGGCATCACTCTCCTCACCTGTATGGCCTCCAGGCTGTCCTGCTCATGTCCCCACCCTGCTGCCCTGGCTGGGACCCCGGTACCTTGAGGGAGTTGCTGGCCAGCATGCAAGGCTGGCCCTGGGGAGTTTCCTGGGGGCATCTCCTAGGGGAAGCACCCTGTGAAGTTTATTATTTGTCTCTGACTGTGACGACAGCCTAGTGCAGGCAAGTGAAAACTAAAAAGCATGTGGGAGTCCAAAAACTTTGCCCTCCGTCCCCTGGGCCAGCTCCCAGCTCCTGGGGTCTTTCCTCCCTTATTTTTTAAGGCATGGTTTTCTCATAGTAAAGGAGGGACACATTGGGAGGCATCCCTCTCTTCCCAGGGCCTTCTGTCCTCCACACCTCCCACCAGAAGACAAAGCCCATAGCCCTGAGGCACCAGATCTCCAGCCCACAGGCCCACAAAAGGTCTTTCCCTGCCCAGACGTCCCTCACACTCCCAGTCTCCCGAGCTACAGCTATTGACCCTGTTAGGAGCCAGGGGTACCAGGCAGAGGGCAGCCCACCTGGAGGACCCTGTGAACCAAGGTCTGGGCCTGAGTGTGCTGAGGATGGCTGGAGGGGCCAGGCACAGGCCTAGGCAGTGGCCTCAGGCGGCAGAGGTGGAGGCTTAGCTGGGTGACCTGAGGCAGGTGCTGGGATGGAGGTGTCCTGTTCTGCCAGGCCTCCCTGCAGGCCAGCTTGGAACCTGAGCCTCAGCCCGTGAGGGCTCCTCTCCTGTGCCCACCCCACCACGCTGGGCATTCGGGTCCCCACCCCTAGCAGGCCAGACTGAGTTCTCACTCCTTAAGGTGCAAGCTGCCAGAGGGAGGCCTTTGCAGGAGAGGTGGGCAGCATCAGCCTGTTCACAGTGCCTCGCTTCCTCCAGGCACTAGGAGAGAGGAGGGTCTTTCCTCCCCTGCAGATGGGGGAGGGCACACTGCACCCCTGGCTGTCCACATGCCTGCCCCTCCTCCCTGCTTCTCCCCAAAGCCTTCTCCTTTCCCCTGAAAAAGCCAAGAATGTCCTTATTTGGAGGATTAGCCCTCCGGGTGGGGCTGGGGGCCGTTAACCCTTCATTTATAAATAAAGAGATAAATCTCCAAAAGTTAAACAACTCTGCAGGAACATAAACAGAGGGGGCAGCCCCAGCCCAGCCCCCCACCTGCCCCCACCAACTTGTCTGGGCCACCAGGCATGGACAGCATTTACGTAACTCACACCCACTCAGGCCCCGCTGCTGCTGGGACCAGGATCCAGCTCTGGCCCGTGAACCAGCCTGTGTCTGCCTCCAACACAACCAGGTGCTTTCCTCTCGGGGCTGGGAGGGAATGGGGGCACCTAGAGGGAATGAGAACCATCCCTGCCCCTTGGGAACGGTCTCTTATGAGGACCCTCATACAGGCCGTTGATCTGGTGCCAGCGTTGGAGGAGGTGAGAACAGATGGGTGGCCTGGAGGACAGGGGCTGTGCCTCGTGAGCGTGGGGTCAGCTGGGTGGGGTAAGCATCCCGGTGGAGTGAACACTGGTTTCTCTGGCACCAACCATGTGCTGGGTGCTGCTGGGCACAGTTAATCCTCCCACAGCTCCTCAATCCCAACTGTATAAATTAGGACACAGGCACCGAGAGGCTAAGTGACTTGCCCAAAGTTGCGCAGGGCAGGGGAGGAGACGGAATTGGAGCTGGGCTCCAACACCGCACACTTGGCCTGCCCTCTTAGCTGTGCCACACCCATCACCCTTGTCTTCCCGTGCCGGCGGTGGCCCTGGAAGGTGGGGGCTTTGACCCCCTGGTATGGGCGGAGCAGGCTCAGAGCCTTGGGCGAAGCTCCACACGGGCGGGTGCAGGCTGGGGCGCAGCGGGAGGCACCGCGGGGCGCCGGGCCGGGCCGGAGGGCGGGAATGTCGCGAGCTCTGGAGCAGACGGCCCCGGCCGCCAGGGTGACGCCGTCTCTTTCCCCCAGGCCTGCGGTGGCCCGGCTGGCTGCCGTCATGCCCTCCGACTCTCCCTCGGCGCCCCCGACGGTGGCGACTCCCAACGCCACAGAGGCCGCGGCGCGGGCCAACCTCAGCGCGCCCGAGGGGCCCCTGTTCCACCTGTTCGCGGCGCTGGACGAGGAGCTGCACGCCGCCTTCCCGGGCCTGTGGCTGGCGCTGGCGGCCGTGCACGGCCTCATCTGCCTGGTGGGGCTGGTGCTCAACGGGCTGGCGCTGTACGTCTTCTGCTGCCGCACCCGGGCCGCCACGCCCTCGGTCATATACACCATCAACCTGGTGGTGACCGACCTGCTGGTGGACCTGTCCCTGCCCACGCGCTTCGCCGTCTTCTACAGCACGCGGGGCTGCCTGCGCTGCGCCTTCCCGCACGTCTTCGGCTACTTCCTCAACATGCACTGCTCCATCCTCTTCCTCACCTGCATCTGCGTGGACCGGTACCTGGCCATTGTGCAGCCCGAGGGCTCCCGCCGCTGGCGCCAGCCAGCCTGTGCCCGGGCCGTGTGCGCCCTCGTGTGGCTGGTGGCTGGCGCCGTGACGCTGTCCGTGCTGGGCGTGACGGCCGGCGCTGGGCCCTGCTGCCATGTCCTCGCGCTGACCGTGCTGGAGTTCCTGCTGCCCCTTCTGGTCATCAGCGTGTTCACGGGCCGCATCGTGTGCGCGCTGTCGCGGCCGGGACTGCTGCGCCAGGGCCACCAACGCCGTGTGCGGGCCATGCAGCTGCTGCTCACCGTGCTCGTCATCTTCCTCGTCTGCTTCACGCCCTTCCACGCCCGTCAGGTGGCCGTGGCGCTGTGGCCAGACATCCCGCACCGCACCAGTCTCGTGGTCTACCACGTGGCCGTGACCCTCAGCAGCCTCAACAGCTGCATGGACCCTATCGTCTACTGCTTCGTCACCAGTGGCTTCCAGGCCACTGTCCGTGGCCTCTTCCGCCGGCATGGAACAGAGCTTGAGCCTGGCGCTGGCGATGTGGTCAGCATGCGCAAGAGCTCCAGGGGCTCGGGCCACCGTCACATTCTCAGTGCCGGCCCTTGTGCCCTTACGCATGCCCTGACCAATGGGCCGGAGGCATAGTCAGCAGGGCCCAGCAAGGAGGCCAAAGGTCGGGTCTGGGCTAAGCACGCCACGTCAGGGCCAGCTCTGCCTTGTGGCAAGTCGGTTTCACCTTGATCGATTGGCTATGTCTGCCCAGGGCACAGCATGGAGATTCTAAGGCCGTTGTGCCCTGGTTGATTAGCAATGTCTGCCATGGCTCCAGATGTGGTGTGGGGCTCTGAATGCTGCCTATTTGCTATCCCTAGAGTATATATTGTGTTCATTGAAAATTGAGCGGGGTAGCCAGGAACTCCTTCTTGCCTGGGCCATTCCATCCCCAGGAGGTTCTCAGAAAAAGGGACAAAAATTTTTTAGGTACTGGGGATTCCAAGAGAGTTAAAAAGCCAACCTGGAGAGGTCACCTCCCCACCTCTCTTCATTCTCCACTTCTGCATCCCTCCCCCAAAGAGACAGAAGAACAAGCACAGAAAGGAAACGTCAGGGGACACAGCATTACATGAATGACATGAGGGTTCATGTCTGTGTGGGACCCTCACCCGAGGTGTCCATGATTTGCATGGTAAGACCACATGACACCCCGAGGGAGCTTTACTCTGAACCAGCACTTGGATATCTGGGTTGATGCTTGAACCTGCAACAACCTCACAAAAGAGGCTATTTTCTGCCCATCTGCGGTGCAGGAGAGGTTAAGCAGCAAGTACAGTGCCACAGCTGGGAATGGCCAGGTGCAAACCAAAACCCAGTCCCGCTTCCTCCAACACCCAGTGCTTGCCCCATGGAGGCTGCTCAAACCTTCCCAAAGCCCCCACCCGAGGGATATGGTCCCAAAGGCCCTACCTGCTGCCCCTGCTGGTGTGGCTCAGGTCAATGGGCATGGCCCTGGGCACCCAGAGGTTGCCGGCTTGATCCCGGTCAGGGCCCGTGCCCGGGTTCCGGGCTCAATCCCCCGTAGGGGGCGTGCAGGAAGCAGTCGATCAATGTTACTCACTCACATCGCTGTTTCTTTCTTCTCCCTTCCTCTTTCTCTGAAAATCAACAAACTATTCTTTACAAAAACAGACCCTGCCTACTGTCCCAGGAGGAGAGAAGGGCTCTTGGCCCCATCCTATGGATGAGAAAACCAAGAGCAAAGACACATAAGACTCAGATGCAGGCCTCCCGGCCTCAGGTTGCCTTCTTCACACACAGCCCTTTGTTCTCCGCTGGGGCAGAGGGGCTCTGACCAGCTGCTCTCACCTGGCCCATCTTGTCTCTCTCCTTTCCTGGGGAGGGAGTATTTCTCTGGCTTGAGCTTCTGATCACCTTCTCTGACCTTCTAGTCCCCTGTGCACCAGGTCTGCTATCCCACCATCCAACCTGGGTTTCTTAGGGACTGCAAGACCCTTGGGGTAGCCTTCTACCATTCAAGCTTGAGAGGGTGGCCACCTGTCTTCTGGGGCCAAGGCAGGAACTGGGGGCTTACCTCACACTTTTGAGAACTCAGTCTGATGGCCCCCATGAAGAACTCTCACTAAGTGGACCTCAGTTTCCCCATCTCCACTCCTCTCCTTGGCCTGGCAACTGGAGGGGTAGGGGCTGGGGGCTGGGCCCCACACTCCCACAAATGCTTGCTCTTTCCTTCTGAGCCCCAGAAGTCAGACCAGGGAGCAAGGTCTCTGCATCCCCCTCCTCATGGCCTCCCTTCTGGATTTTCCAAAAGCCCAAGTGATGTGAGTGGCATGTGTGTTTATATCTGATGTAAACAATCTCCTCTACGAGAAGACTTCGTCCTAAATTAAACCTGTTTACTCCCTTTGTGCCCTCGATTCAGCTGGTGGCAGGGGTCCCCAAGGGACACTGAGTCAGGTGGTAGCCTGTGCATGACCCCTGCACTCACTGTCCTGTGGACAGGCAGGCTCCAGGAAAGCTCCCATCAGGTGATGGGTTCGTGGTTTTGCCATCAGTGACCGGAGGTTTAGGGGCCGTGAGCTGCCACTCTGAAGGGCAGAGGCTGGAGGGGTGCAGGTGGCAGGCTCGTGGGCAGTGTGGGCACAGTTGTTGGCGCAGGGGCGCAGACCAGCTGAGTGAGTCCTTGCTGCATCCCGGTCCCAACTCCACCTGCCCAGGGAGAAGGGCTGCCGGAATGCCTGCGGTGCCCTCCTATCCCCAAGGTCCAGGAGAGGGAGGAGGCGGGTCAGTGAGCTGACGCCCCCAGGAGAGGGAGGGGCTTACAAAGTGGCCCTGAGCTGTCCCTTTCTCTGAGGTCAGGTATGTCATTTCCATTTCACAAATGGGGAAACCGAGGCCCCGGGCATCTGGCTCCCAGCTCCCAGTTCCTGCCCACACACCGGGTCTCCGTCCTCCCGGGGAGGCGGGGGTGGGCGGGCGTTGGCGGGACAGGCTCATCACTCTCGCTGTCTGGCACCCGCTGAGGCCGGAGGCTCCTGCGGTAAATATTAGGGCCTGTTTAGATTAGGCTCCATTAATACAGGAAATGTCACAGTGGCGCCTGCCCTCGCTTCCTGGAGGCCTTGAAGGCCTGAGGCAGGAGTCAGGCGCCCTATAAAGATGGATGTCCTGCCCTGAGGTCCTGGTTTAGACCCCACACTTTCTACACACACACACACACACACCCGGCCTTGCACACTCCTCCTGCCTACCCCTCCTTCAGGAGGCTCTGTGTGTCTTCCCGGATCAGGGCCAGGGGAGCCCAGGAGGCAGCAAGTGTGTGAAGACACCCCTGGGCGTCACTGCGACATCCTCACACCCCCTGGAGGTGGGTGCCCACACCCGAGGGGTCTGTGTTCGCAGTGCACAGAGGGGAAAACAGAGGCTCAGAGATGTACTGGGACCAGTCCAAGGCTACCTAATGTTATCTGAAAAAGGGTCTAGAATTCCCACCCAGGCCAGCCTGACCCCAGGGCCAAGGCCAGCCCACCCCTTGCCCCCCTAAAGGAGTCAGGAAAGTTGCGGGCAAGGAGGCAGGGACTAGTGGCTGAGTGTCAGCTGAGGGGAGGGTGCCCCAGGGGGATGGGGGGGGAGAGGAAAGGAGGGGGACTGAGGAAAGGGGCAGGACAGAGCTGCGGANCAGGGGGATGGGGGGGGGAGAGGAAAGGAGGGGGACTGAGGAAAGGGGCAGGACAGAGCTGCGGAAACGGCCCCCCCTGCAGCCAGGTCTAGGCCTCTGCTCTTTCCCTGGGTCCCCCATTTCCACATGACCGCTGCTCCTTGGAGCCTCCCCAGACTTGAGTCAGCCCCACGCCCTCCGCTGGCAGCACCTCCCCAACCCTACTCTCAGGGCTCCCCACACCCTTGGGAGGGGGGGGCGGTCCATTCTGTGCTGTGTCTTGGTCTTAGCAGTCCCACCACCCCACCAGTCTGCCCAGCAGATCAGCTGACCTCGGGACCCCCCCAGCTCCGCCATCTGTAAGTGGGAGCCTTCTGCCCAGGTGGCACCAGTCCTGCTCCTGAGGAGGCCTAGGAGAGACAGCAGAGCCTGGTGGAGCAGGAGCAGCTCTGAGTCCCCCTGAGACCTCAGCCACGCTCCTGCCCCTCTCCAGGCCTCACTTTCCTCATCTGTAATCAGAGCTTAGAACAAATGGCTCCCCAGCCTGTTGAGTGGGGGGCTCCCTCCTCCCACCCAGTGGGACTGTATACCCGCTCCCCACTGTGCCCAGCAAGGACTTAAATGGGAGAAGGTTCTCTCTGTTCATAAGCCAGCCTGACGCTCTGCCTCCCCTTCCCCTTCAGCACCTCAGCTTCCAGGGCTCCAGCTTGGGGGGGATCCTGGGCAGAGAGGTGGCCTCACAAAGTGTGGGGTCCCCAGTTACACCCCAAGCCAGGGAGGCCTTCCCGGGTACCACATTACAGAGTGGGGCTCCTGAGGGGTCCCAGGTGGGGGTAGGGGTGGGGCATGAACTTGGTGGAAGGCACAAGCCACGTGCACAGTCACCTGCCCCGCATTCGACCATCAGGACACCAGCTATGGCCCCAGGGGTAAGGCAGGGTTCCTGGCGTCTCACAGGGTCCAAGACCCATAGACCTTCACACCCAGAGGCCACCAGGGATAAAGGGCATTTGACCCCTGTCAGCCCCAGGAGTCCAGACTGTACTGCTGGTCTGGAGACCCATTCATGGAGGATTCTTGCTCCTGTGAGGATCTTCCTCCATCACCACATGGGTTCCCCCTCCTAGTGGTCTGCTGGGGATTTGAGAGTCAAGCTTTAGTGCATGGGGTGAGGTCCAAGGGTCTGAACCCCACTCTACCTTGTCCTCTCCAGGACAAAGCCCAGGAGGGAGAGTTGGGGGAAGGTGGGACCCTAACACCAGAGGTTCACAGAGAGGACACCACAGCCCAGCCCAGGGTTGGCGCTCTAGGCAAGGTCAGAAGGCTGTCCCACCCATGCCATGCCCCCTTGGCCACACCAACATCTTCGATCTTGATCGAGTCATGTGCCATCCTGAGCCTCAGTTTCCTCTTCTGTCAAGGGAGGGTAATTGACACCTTCTACCTTGAGGTGGGGTTGTGAGAATTAAACACTAGTGTGTATGTGTGTGCATGTCCTATGTGCATATACTGTTGTGTGTATATATGTCACTGTGCATGTGCTGTATGTGTGCACATATACATGTATATGTGTTCATATGCTTATGTGTGTGTGTATGTGTATGTATATATGTGTGTAGGTACATGCATCATGCTCAGCACTTAATAATTAGTGATTAACCTGACCTAACGGAGGAAACAGGGCTGCCCTCAGAAAGGACCCAAGCACATTCATTCATTTTCTTTCATTCATTCAACAGCATCCTTTACCTCACCTGTGCCAGGTATAGTCTGAGGGTTTCTCCCCGCACAGGGCCTCTGCCCCTACCACACACACATGGTGACTGAGACCTCCCTTTCTTGAACATCCCTCTGGGTTAAGCGCTATCTCTGAGCTTCCCCTGGAACTTGCACACACCTGGCAGGGGGTAGAGCTAAGGGGCACATTCTAGGCTTGGTCTGGTCCCAGAGCTGCCAGTGACCTTGAGCCAGCTCCTGCCACTGATCCCGGAGAAATGCCAGTTGGACCAAGGTGTCTGGGGGCCTGTAGCCACCAGGTGGCACTGCTGACATGGGAGAGACTGCCAACTGTCCAGGAACAGCAGTGACCCTTCACATCACCTCCACCACCTGACCCTTGGCGGGGGTGGCCCTAGAGTCAGCAATCCTGGCCAGCTGTTGGAGGAGCTGAGGAGCTGCAGTCTCCTGGCCCACCTGGGAAGAAGAGTGACACCGAGTCAGGCCCCTTCTACTCGGGAAACATCAAGGCAGCTCCTCGCTCCATGTCTGTGTCTCCCCACCTGCTGTAGAGGAGCTGGGCAAGGAGGTCACAGTGAGGGGAGATCAAATGGCGAGCCATCCATCCTGACATGCCTGACATTACCTCATTCACCATCTTGTGATCCCAGAGAGGGTCAGACACCTGCCCTGAGTCACACAGCCTGGCAGTCAAGCAGGAGAAACACATCCAAGGGCTAGGATGTCCTGACAAGCAGCGCCACAGATTTCCAACCACAGCACTGGCACCTCCCCCAAACCCAGGCAGTGAGGAAGCAGGAGACAGACAGATGGATGGACACCAGGGAGAAACGGGACTGGGTATGAATTACTCGGTGGTCCCCGCCCTCTCCTGTCAGACAGAAGGGACAGGCTCTGCTTGTAGGGACAGAGGGAAATGGTGTCCAGTAGACCCCAGGCTGACAGCTGGGCTATGACACTGCCCATGTCTCCATCTGCCCACCCTCCATCCACAAGGCAACCCCCACCCTGGCTCAGCTAAGGAGGGTGGCCTGGGTGGGGTGGGCTAAGGCCAATTCCAGCCAGTTCAGCCCAGGGCCGGGATTCCTACAGCAGCCAGGTGGGACTGTCCTCTCCCCCAGACGTG